CCGCTGCGCAAGCCATCCTGTCGCTTGTCTCGACGATGCGCCACCGCGTGCTGACGCCGACGCTCTGCGCCGTCGCGCCGTTCGACATCCGTTGGCTGCTGCCGAAGCCGCGCCTCACCGACTCCATGCGCCGTTCGACATCCGTTGGCTGCTGCCGAAGCCGTGCCTTACCGGCCCCAAGCGGTCGTGGCCGCTGCGCACACCATGTACGTGGTGCCGCCAACGCCACTGATGCGGGTGAGTGGTTTTCGCCTGTTACCTCCCGGCTGCATGTGCGTGATGTGGCTGACGAATTCCTTCTTCTTGCTTGGAGTATCGATTATATCTCCTGCGCATAGGCTACATGCCGATTAGTTGTTAGATCGTTGATTTAATCACAAAAGACAGCTCCTGCCTCATATTTTGTAGGGATGCATGATCTTCTTTGCCATGGATGGCCTGGTGCCTCACTGCGTTCAGTGCCCAGAGCACCGTCTAGAGGCATTTCCTCTCTTCTGTGATCTTGGGCGTGGCCTCATAACCGTCGTCAATGCCGACGCCGAAGTTCACTGCTGAAGTCTGCGTCCCTGCGTCGCTTGGTCGCCATTGTTTGAATGTGAAGATCGTACGTAATCGATGCCTCCTATTCTTCCAACAATTTTCTCTCCCATGGAGTTCGCCGGACATGAGACTGCCAGAGTTGCTGCCTCGATTCTCGCTGGGGACGGCGAAGTTCCTCTGGCCTATTCGCTCTCTGCGGAGAGACGTGCGTGATTGATAATGTGTTGTAAGTCAAAAGTGAATGAACGGATCAAAACTTCTTCTTTATTCCATCGATGATCACTACATATATATACAACCAGATGGTGATGGTTAGAGGGACTGTGGTATTCCCAGCCCATCAGGGTTCAAATCCTGATGCTCGCATTTATTTCTGGATTTATTTCAGGATTTCCGGTGATGCGCATTCAGTGGGAGGAGACATTCCCGTTGATGACGAAGTGCCTACGACGACTTCGTAAATTTCAAGATGATATGGCGGCTCAGTCTTTTGGAGGTGCTCTCAATAGTTAGCATCTGCACGTTGCAGTACAGAGAGGATTATCCCTTTAATTATAAATTAATTAAATCCTAACAGGTCCAAGTAGAGCCTGCAAAATGCAAGTTCCGATAACCTGTTGGCCAAAGCAGGCATCCGCACCTTGAGGCCTCCTTTGGTTTGTAGGAACTCTATAGGATAGGATTTGCAAAGGAAAAATTCCTTTGAAGCCCTTTGATTTATAGGAATGGATTTCTGTTCCTATGTAGGATAGGAATCAATCCTTCACATTTTGGAGGAAAAAAAATTAGGCTAGACTCTGTGGAAAAATTCCTATCATATGCACCAAATGGTATCTCTTTCTTTAAAGGAATTGAGATGCATGTCATCTCACTTCCTATGATTTTCATATTCCTATAAAATTCCTATCGTATGAACCAAAGGAGGCCTGAGTTGGCTCAACCCTCGATAGAGGATCTCATATTTGACACTCTAAATTGAAATTTGTCTTTTTTGTGGAGATAGAACGAAAAAACGTTTTTTTCACCAAAACTTTGTGCCGCGCACACACACATTGGTGAACATGTATGCGTGAAGATTTTCTTTTGAGTTTTTCGACATTTTAAATTGTGTTTGAAATGCATATTTTTTTTTCAAAAAATGGGTGCATATGCCCATGGGTTCAGGACGTGCTGACTCCACAGTTAGGCGTACATCTCTACTCCTATAAAAAATCGAGTTGGTGGTGATGGTGTGCCTGCCATCCATCAATCTCGACCATTAGATCTGGATCCGACGAAGGAGAGGCAACCCACTTTATAACCACCTTATCCAACCAGGCAACCAAAATCACTCGATCCTTCTTGAAAAGGGGAGAACGATGTAAACAAGCCTTGATTTCTTGATGGAACCAGTGGCCGCTGCCGCTGCCGCTGCATGCGCCGCCGGCGCTGGTTGTTCCAGACCCCTCTCTTGACTCCTCTCTGCCGCCACCGCTCACTAGAAACTGTCTACTATAGTATCTGTAAGCAATGACCACTGGTTATAGTTTCTTATCCAAAATCTTCTTGTGGATGAAATTTTGAGTATCGGAGATGTTGGTGTGTACCTCCCTGAACTGGTATTTTCACACAGGCAACTCTATGTTACTCTTTGTAGAGATATATCTAAAAGTAACATAAATATTCTTACTCTTTCGGATAAGCAAGGGAAGGCCAGTCCAACCCCATTGCAAATTTTTCAAAGAAATGTTCTACAATTAGGTCTCAATGTGTAGTCCAAGGTATAAATCAAGTACAATTTGGTGGCAGTAAAAATAATAATTTATTTAATATGTTTAGTCATCTAAAATTGCTTCGCATGTAAGGTCCGGAAGTTTGGACTTCCAGAAAAAATAACTTCAGAAATTTGCTTTAGTGTTCATGATATTCTTGTAAAAAAAATCATACATGTGTTTAAATTATTTTTTGGTAGTTCTCATTGTTACTTTCGTTGTTCGAAAAATTTGGATGACGCCTACAACAGGTCTCTATGTCATTGATGCCCCTCCTTTTATTGGTAGCTCCACATCCAATTTTTCAGGTTAGACACCATTTTTTTTCCTTGATGTCAGTTACTGGCATCTTTTCTTTTGCAGAAAGTTACAATTTTTGTGTGTGTATGCACAAGTACCCTTGCCCCTTTTATATACACATGATTTCAAAGCATGTCTTACTATACATTTTTTTCTTTGCTTGGTACAAAATGTATTGCAAGCGATGTTCATTGTTTTTTGCTTTGTTTAAATATACTTTAAGCTCAGTTTTTTTTCCTTTGTCTGAATGTAACATAGGCAATTATGTAGGTGGGCAGATGGAGATGTACCGTGCTTCAAAAATTATTCCCTGGCGTGATCTAAGGTATGTAACTAATTAAGTGGAACTAGATGTGTGAGTTATGTCTGAACTCTTCTTGGTGGTGTTGTATACAAATTCATTTTTCTTGCGTATATTTACGAAATCATTCGGTTAAACACTTCTACTTCATTCATGTTTGTCTTGGAACTATTAATATAAGTGTGTACTATTTGGATATATTAATTGCTGCAATTATCTTCACATTTAAGTCCGGTGTGCCTAATATACTGGCATGAAATGGGCAATGTTGACTTCCTGGATGAACGGTAACTGAATAGCTTGTTTGCTTTGTACAACCTTTTCAAGGAAAGAAGCAATTCTCTGTTGCAGTAGTTTGTTGCAGTGGTTCTAAGGCTGGACATGATAATATGTATTTTAGATCACAGGCTGTGCTTGAAATTTTGGAGGTCTGGTGTGGGGGCAGTTGTCGCATCTTTTACAATTTCACAATTCGGAGTTATCAGTTGTGACGCTCACACGGCTTGCAATTGACGAAGCCAATGTTGGAAGGATGTTGACGCATGGAACATCATTTGACATAGTAGTCTAGCTTAGTGAGCCCCGGTCATTTTTTGGTACTTGTATATAATCTCTTTTGCATGCAAGTTAAGTGTTTTACTTTTTTGTTTTCCTTTTTCATGTGACTTCTCCTAGCCAATTAATGATTGTGGTATGTTTGTGAGACTATAATACACTTTTAGCAAACTACTTTTGCAATATTCAATCTTGGTTGATCATGCGAGCTTGCAGTATATCTTCGAGATACTATTATGTGATATGTGATATGATCTTTTTTTTTCAAAAATTGCTAAGTGTTTTGGAATGTTACAACATAAATTTATTCGATATGACATTTATCATTATGTTTTACCCACGAATGGCAGTTGCATCGTGTAATGCTCACATTCATAGAGAGATGACAGATCCGCGACATGGATGGGTGGTAGATCGGGATATGTGCTAACATGTTGAGCACATCGAAATAGGGCCTTTTAACACAATATAACATCGCTTGATTAATGTGTCCGTCAACAATATAACATCGCTTGATTAATGTGTCTGTAGATCCTTTTAACACACTTCAATTAATGTGCCGGCACATTTTTTGTTCTCCATTGCAATGTACATTTCCTGACTATAACTTAAATCCACCAAATCTTGTGTGAGCTCGTAGCATAGCACGGACGTCTTGCTAGTTTTTTCAAAAAGCAGGAGTACTTTTTCCTCACGGTGCAAAGTGCAGTTCAGACTTTTCGTTTTCTTAGGCAGGCCGGCGCGCGGCTCCCGCCCGTCCGCCGTCCATCCCATCCCCATCGGGCGCTCTCTCTTTCTCTCTCCCTGTCCCTCGCTCGTTCCACCCCAGCGGGTGCGAGCGCTGCGACTAGGGCGGCGCCGCCGCCGCAACCTCCGGCGGCTGCCCCGCTATGGATCTGGTGGTGGTCGGCGACGGCCCCGAGATGCCGACGCGGTACCGAGATCGAGGCGGCGGCGAGGCATCTCGCCCCGCGTCTTCCCCGCCTCCTCCTCCTAAGGTGCCCGCGATTCCGCTTAATCGAATCGACCCATCAATCCAGGTTAGGTCCGGGAACCTTCTTATTGTTGGGACTACTGCGTTGAATCGATTCAGTACAAATACCCTGTCAAAAAAGAATTCAGTACAGATAGCCCTTTGCTCTGCTCTGTGGATGCTTATGCTTATGGTTCATTCAGTACAAACGGTTCCGTGGTTGGATAAATAATCTTGACCTACCCTGCATCACCCCTTTATCTGTAGGCAAGCACTACCATTTCTACACAACAAAGATACAGGAACTACTGTGCTTCACAATTCATCGTTTACGGATATGAAGTCGACGACTAATTAGCAACCGAGGCGCCCGGTTATGCTTCAACATTACACTATGCACACTATGTAGCCAACTAGTCATCTTTTGTCTGTCTGAACTCTGAACATGAGTAGATTGTCTTGCCTTTCATGCCACGCCGACGCTCTTAACCAAAGGCACGTCTGTGTTACTGTCTGAACTTTAAGTGTTAAAACAGAAGGAGTCCCCCTCAGCAAAGCAACGGCATCATGCAGGATGACATTATCTGCCCTGTAGAGCAGACATTGTCACATCGTTAGCGCTAGGCGGCTCTTCATCCGCTACCCTTACGTGGAAATATGCTGGATGCTTAGGTTCAGGCAGGACTATACTTTCGCTGCTTAGCATCGTAACCACGCTTGTCGTGGTGGGTCTATCAGCTGCATTCTCTTGTACACACAGCAACGCGATGTTGATACACCTCATTGTCTCTGATGCATGTGACTCTGAAACTATTGATTCGTCAACAAACTCAAGCCATCTTTCTTCTTTCCACAACTTCCATGCCTTGAAGGAGTTTAAGACACATATTAGATAAAGGTCATCAGATAAACAGAATAATTTTACATATGGGATACAGAAAATACTTACATATCCAAGAAGATTGAAGAAGTCCCCATTTTTATGGAAAGACGAGTTCCTTTTTCCATGGATGGTCTCGAGAATCAGAACGCCAAAGCTGAATACATCAGACTTGATCGAGAAGAGGCCCTCTGATGCATACTCTGGAGCCATATACCCACTGTGAAAATATACAGAAAAGGGTAAACTTCTGTCTGGTATTTGGTTAACTTGCAGTAGGATGTACTTAAGGAAGAGCTTACTATGTCCCAGCAACCCTTTTTGTGTTCCCTTCAATATCATTTGAACTGAATATTTTTGCAAGCCCGAAATCTGATATTTTAGGATTCATCTCACTGTCCAAAAGAATGTTGCTTGCTTTAAGATCTCTATGTATGACACGTAACCGGGAGTGTTTATGCAAATATAGAAGTCCTTGCGCTATTCCTTCGATAATTGCTTTTCGTTTATTCCAGTTCAATAAAGCTCTTTTAGTTTCATCTGCACATTAGTTTACAAATATATGTATATTAGATAGATGGGGAGGACTGGATGGCTTTAGCAGACAGAGTTAAACCATATATAATACTCCCTCTGTAAACTAATATACGTTAGTTTACAGAGGTAGTACGTAGCAGGATATTACGAGAAGTAATACCAAAGATAAAGGAGTCCAAGCTTTTATTTGGCAAATACTCATAGATCAATATTCTCTCCTCTCCCTGTGAGCAACATCCCAACAGCTTAACCAGATTTGTGTGCTGGAGCTTGGCTATGAGTTGGACTTCATTTTTGAACTCTGTGAAACCTTGCCCAGAATGTGAAGCAAGTCTCTTAATTGCTATCTCCAAACCTTCTGGAAGCTGGCCCTGTGGAGGTTCAAACGAGATTGATTAGCGATATTATTTTGCCAAATAGAAGTGCTTTTATTTATCTTCTGACCAGTAATCCCCCATGCTTCTGGGTAAAATTAAAGTTACATGTATGAAATCTACAAGGTCATACAAATTTAGCTATCGATGAAAACTTTGTTCCATTTTGTTCTCTTTGGGTACAGACATAGTAAATGTGTTCTTTTACCTTGTATACTGGACCAAAGCCACCTTGCCCCAATTTATTTTCATCTGAGAAGTTATCTGTAGCACTTGATACTTCTGAAAAATCAAAAAGCTTGAACTCTGGACTCCTTCCTATTCCCCAGACCAGTTCTTCATCTTCCTGTGAGCTCAGTTTACCTAAATTCAAAAGGCAGAGTTTATCTAATCCTTTCAGGTAATGCTGATGTAAAGTATATATGAATCTGAATAGCCTGAGAGATTTGTGAGTACAGTTGCATTTCCGTAACAAACCTTTTGTGTGCCTTTTGACCAGTCCAAGCCAAACGATGAAGCAGAAAAATGATGCTAGTAGAAACGCAACAGTGGTAATGATCAAAACCTTTATTATATTCCCTAAAACAAAAGATTTCACACAAACATAGGTGGTTATGTTTTGGGGAATGTCTCAACATATAAAATATTGTCTTGCTTACTCTTGTGTTTATGGCTGGGAGTCTCGTCTTTCTGCCTGGGAAGATTAACTGGCCCTGGCGCCGGCTTGGGTGCCGGCATGTTTGTTGTTGGATCTACAGCACCCGACAAGGTGATATGCTGCATTGGCTGGCCCTCGTAGAACTGATATGTGCTATACCTGAAATTGCACCACACACCAGCAATCCATTCACCACGTTGCTGGTAGAAGAAACTCTTTGCCGCGCTCCTGATATTGTCGAGGCAATCCCAACAGTCATTTGGCGGTAGGTCCAGGTTGCACTGCGCCAGAGAGTAGAGCAGCGGGATTGTGCTGTAGACATCCATGCGGCCGGTGGCGTACATCATCGTCGAGTTGTAGGCTGCTTGTTTGGCTGTCTCTTGAAGCAGCACCTTGATGCTGCCATCAATGCTGCCATCGGTGTACTTGGCGCTCACCTCGCTGGGGATGTTGGGATCCATATTGTGTTTTGTGGTGTCCGTAGAGACCAGCAACCTGTTCAGCACAACAGTGGAGTCGTAGATAAGGTCCTTCGCGGAGATGTGGACGATGCAATCCTTGTATAGGATATGCGCCTCCTTGTGGTTTCTGCACACCCGCCACACATCCTGGAATGCCGTGGTGATGCAGCTGGGGCAGGCATCGACGGCGCCATCACCGCGGCACACTACGGCGCCGTATATGCGGTCTTGATCAGTTCCGACGAAGCCCTTGGCGAGGTTGGTTCGTGTGGATGAGGCACTACTGAATAGAGCAGCAGATAGGAGCTCAAGGTTTGCTTTGTAGGTGCTCTCGTTCATGTGGGAGTCTCTGTAGTAGCAGATCTGCGTCAGCGGATTGACGGCGGCAACGAATGGCTCGAAGCCGAGAATAAGCAGCAAGGAGATGAATATGATCATGGTTCTGGCTAACCATAGGTTATTCAGCTCTGCCCCCTCCAGCAGCTTCCTTGTTATAAGCATCATTTGGAGAACTCGTCTGTCTTACGGTTTGACCGCTTACTTGTTTAGTGATTATCTGGTGATATCAGCTTGCAGGCCGTGCAATCAAATTTCGTGGAATACAATAGTGCAGCCGTCCAGGCATCGGCCTGTGTAATGGCTACAAGCAATGCAAGACAAGGGGAGAGAACAATAACAAATCCAGTTTCAGTGTTTCCGTCAAAGGAGAAGAGATCCTTCTTGTGACCTTGAGGGAGGTGCGGAGTTGAAGATGATTACGATCGTTCGGTAAAGCTAATGGACTATTTGTTAGAAGCTTGACTCGGAAATGTTTCTTATGCTGAAATGCTTCGAAAATTCTCTTAAGCTTGTGTGATGCTGACGTTTCCGATGTTTCCAATGTTGTAGGTGCCTTTTTTTCAGAGAGGCTAGCTGAGGAACTGCAATGTAGCCTGTTGCCGGCTTTCGTAGCGTAAAAAAAAATCTTTTGCTATTTTTTAATGGACCTGGTGTCATTCTTCATGTCCAGTATGGCCTGTTATTTGTTCTGCAAAACATGGGCAAAAGCAAGTAACTAGCTGGTAAAATTCAGTTACCTCCCAGCCAAACCAGTACAAAATCTCAAAGTAGTTTGTGGAAAATGCTTATGAACTGGCATAAATAGTACTCCCTCCTCACATAATATAAGAGCGCTCTTACATTATGGGACGGAGGGCGTAGTACTATATGAGAAGATCTCGATGTAAGATCTCACGAATATAGCATGGACAGAGACTGAGATTTAGCAAGACTGATATGAGAAACAAGTCTGCAAAATAGTACACCTCAGGAAAACAAATGTTTTTAGTAGAACAGTAGGTTTCCCTACTGGATATTTCTTGTTTTAATGTAATAAACAGAAACAAATGATAAGATCCTTTTTTTTGTTTATTCACATTTTGATGTTTTCCTGAGGAATCACATGCACAATTCGCTGTACCTACACAACACAACACAACACAACACAAAAGCTATCTTTCTCAATACTATTTCTGCACAAGGTCTATCTAACATTGTGTGCATCATCATCTGTTCTTGGAGCTCCAGTCCATGATGGCCGACCGGAGTGAATGGTTGGGGATGAGGCTCTTACACGGCAGCCGGAGGTTAGTCATCGGCGACTTGTCCTTCATGCTCACCCATGTCTCGATCGCTTTCCGGTCGTAGGTGTACCCATCGGCGGCGACACATGGGTCCTCCATGATTTCCTGAAGAATGGGGCAGAGGAAGTGGCCCGGGGCCGCTGACGATGATGCTGTCCGGAGGAGAAGGGCCTTCGTCTCCCTGGCGGCTCTGGCTGCGACGTCCTTGATCCGCTCCAGCGCCGGGAGGATGTGCTCGCGCAGCCCGGGCCGGTCCCTGCGTCGCATCTCCGCGCACCGCAGAGCCAGCAAGGCGAGCTCTCGCGCCTCCTCCGGCGGCCACTCCCCGGCGGTTGTGTCCAGCATCTCAGCGAAGGAGTCGCCGCTGTCTTCCTCCAGTGTGGTCTCCACGGCGTGGGCGAGCCCGAGCGGCGACGTCCGCCCCGTGAGCAGCTGCAGCACTACCACGCCGAGCGCGTACACGTCTGACTTGGCCGACACGGCGCCCGTCCGCTGGTACTCTGGGTCGATGTAGCAGAACGTGCCCACGGGCGTCGTGTTCCTCACCATCGTGGACTGCTGCTGGCCTCCTCCACCTCCGGTGCCCGGGTGGTGGAGCAGTGCCGTGGAGAGCCCGACGTCACCGACCTTGCTGGCGAGGTTCCGGTCGAGCAGGATGTTGGCCGGCTTGAGGTCGCGGTGGATGATGGGGTCCGGCCTGGCACTGTGGAGGAAGGCAACTGCGGTGGCCACCTCCCAGGCGATGCGGACGCGGTCGTACCAGGCGAGCGGCGGTGTGCCGTTCCGGCGGTGGTGGAGCGCGTCATCCAGGCTGCCGCTCTCCATGTACTCGTACACCACGCAGCCGTGCTCCGGGCACGCACCCAGCAGCAGTAGCAGGTGTGGGTGCCGGATCTTGCCCAGGACCTCCAGCTGCATGCAGTAAGATGAGATTAGCACTTGCAAAACCAAAGTTCAGAATACAGATACATGTTGCAGTGACAGACCATTTCTAGCAGCTGAATTGGAATTCTATTTGATTTGAATTAAAAAAATCTTTTGTTTGCCAAATTCATTAGATGAAATCTTTAATTGTTCTGGTGACAGTCCATTTGTAAATACTGAATTGAGTGCTGTTTGATTTTTCAAAACAAAAATAGTCATAGGTGTCTGATATTAACCAAACTTATTTGATGAATCCTTGCATCCCTGTTTGGATTTTTCTTCATACTTTCTGTTTGGAGTTAATTTTGTTCAGCAGTCTTAAGATGCTCTGCTTACCATCTATAAGATGTAAGATAAATATTTTAGTCAAGATTTGAAGTCAAAATGAAAATAAGAACAATAGCTTTGATGTGTAGTCTAGCCAAATAGAAACCTAATAGCATTAATAAAATTATATATTTATTTATTTACCATTGTGCTTTATGGCAATATGATACACTTTCTCATTTCAACAGCCTGCAAAGTTCATATTTTTAGCATGAGTCATTGGATCATCCAAAGTTAATGGCTAATATTAACTCAGTAGTGTCTTAAAATTTCTCAATTTTGTTTGCCAAAAAATAACCTCTGGGTGTAATGAGCAGATAGTGAAGAAAATATTTGTACCTCTTGCTGTAACTGCTGAGTTCCAAAACCTTCAAGGGAGTTGAGAACTTTCACTGCTGCAACAGTATGCTGAAACTTAGCCTTGTAGACTGTTCCATATGTCCCCTTACCAATCACAAGATCACTTGAAAACGATGAAGTCGCCGCTTGGATATGCTCCCATGAGTACCTATTGTACTCGGTTAAACATCGTCCGGCATTTTTCAGTCCTGTGTTGATCTTTCCAGCATTTTGGTGATCACCATCACCCTCTGTTGCTTTCTGTCCAGAAGAGGTTTGTATAGGTTGAGCTTCTCTTTCGGCCACCTCCTCTTCTTCTCTCTCCATTCGCCTTAGCAATCTCCTCACCATTTCTTCTGTCAGGTCGATTTCTCGAAGCTTGATTTCGTGCTCGACACGCTGGATGCCCAAGTTGTTGTGTAACTAACAGCAAGATTTCAACAAGAAACGGTTAAAAACCTTGCAGATTATTACACACTTTATAGATCAGTTGGAAGTAAACCCGTACTTTCTGAGTGGAGTCGACCGGTTCAGTGTGAGCACACTCGTGAAGCTTCTGAAGATGTCGCAATTTGACCTTCATACTCTCAATTTGAAGCTTCAGATCATCCTTCTTAGCAAAGAAAGGACATAAATTGCACATTAACTTGGACACATGTTACTTTGGCTGTGTGCGTCGTATGGCGAGTTCTTCCATTATCTTTTGTTTTTGCTGAAGCAAAGGGAATACTGCTTTTATTTAAAGAGTATAAATTCCTACCTGGTCATGAGAATGCTTGAGGTTTGTAGCAATTTCTGAAACTGCTGCCTGCAGGTCAGGGATGTCTGGGGAACTATCTCTTCGGAAGCTCTTGTAAACTGAATCCCCACTGCTGCTGCTACTGAGCTGCGCTCCCGATGCAATCGAGTGTGAATTTGTCATCAGGGTTGTGTCAGCATGGTAAGAGATCTCGCTGCCTCCACTGCCTGAAGGGCTAGCTCTCCTGTTTATGTTTGCGAGTGCGTGATCACGCTGCGATGACAGAGAAGACTGGCGGAATAACACAGCTGCTGCTTCATTTCTGTCAGCGCACTCTGCAGTAGACAGAATAGTTAGCAACACTTATACATTTATGTTCCTGTTTCTGAAGGCACGTTCCTGAAAGTTAAGTGGTTCTACTGACGTTAAGTTGCTGATCCAAATTCAATTGATTAACTTTTTCGAAGAAACAACTTTTGTTGTATTCAGTTCATAGGTGTTCTAAAAAGCAAAGTGACAGGTGTAACCAACTGTTGAAGTGTATATGTAGATTGCCTAGCCCTTTCCATCAGTTCGGACTTTTGGTTGCGTTGGCTAGTGCATGAAGCTTAACACCAACAAATTTTCAGAAACCAAAACCAAATGCAGACTTGAGTATTACCTGAGGGTGCACTGGAAAGGCTTCTGAAGCTAGGAGAAGAAACGGTTGAAGAAGATATGGTCTTGGGTGTTTCGCAGGCATCAGATGTAGCCGAGCGCACGAATGACAGTTTGCCCTTTGAGACGACGTATGCCGTACAGAAGCTTGGAATGCATTCGGAGATTTTGGTTGCAGTCTTGCTTCCTTTGAGCTTCCTGCAAGTAGTTAACAATGATAACCATATGATTAAGATTGTGATAGGCATTTCTCATCCTATGTTGTACTAGGCTTTTTTTTCATAATAAAGAACTGTTCATCTTAAATTCTCTGCAAATTTCCATATTGAACTTGCAATCAAGTAGTAGTTGCAGTGCAACCTTCAGTGTTAGGCTGGTAGCTGGGGAATTAAATGACAAGACAATGATCATCCTATCCTACCAAATGCTCAAGCTTTTCTGACTATTTGTCACAGTGCTCCAGCTAATCATCCTAAAAGTTTTCTTATGCTGAAGTGACAACAATCAGAATGTACCTTCGGAATATGCTTCTCGACGAAGAGCCCAAGACCAACTTGCCAATGTTGAATTTGTTGATTTCCTCGCTTATAGCAGCAGGCACATCATCAGATTCAAGTAAAACAGCTTCAGCTTCCACCTGTTGATCAAACAGAGCAAAACATATCACTGTCTGTATCAGATTTCATGGGTTATTACCAACTGCAAGTCGCATGGTAAATCAGGCAATTGCA